ACCCGCCTGCCGGTCCCGGGCTCACGGGCTATTTGTGTTGAACCGGCCCGTCACGGGGCTTTTGCACCACTTAAGCCCAGGCCCGCTTGAACCGGCCCATTAGGCACGTTTGGACCGCGGTCCTGGGCCGGTCCCGGGCCCAGACCGGCCCACAGTACAGCCTTAATTACGTATCAGGAATGAGCATATGAATCATTGTTTTAAGCTAAGTTGCTAGTTTGAGTATCTACCTGAGTGTTGTGCATAGTGTTAACTGTTAAGGACCAAAACCAAAATGAGTTTGTCATTGTGCTGCAGCAATCCTTGAAAATCTATCTGATGTATGTTAAAGATATGTCCCCCAAATTAACGAGTAAATTTTCAATGTATAAAGAAATATAATCTGAAATAGCATTTTAATTTATTGGGGGAATTTATGGGCCTTGCTTTCTTAATTGGGTGGAAGCTGAAATCCCAATTCTAGTAATATTTCCAATGGTGGTGCAGAGCCCTTTGCATTGCATTTGCATCCATGCATATATGTAGTTTTACACGCTATATGATATTTATCTCTAAGTTCTGAGGAAAAAGGAAAAAAATTATTTTTTTTATCAGAGAATCTATTTTTAGAGACTTAACTCCCTCAACCTGCTGCTTTTAGTATAAAAGTTTTATATACAAAGTAATACCATTGATTGTACCAGGAAGGCGCCAATGTTTGCATCCAAAGAGGACTTTGTTTCCTTTAGATATTTTCAGGATTCCAACTAGTCCAGAAAAATATATACATCTGGATACTTTTTCACTTTGCACCAAGAAAACAAAAAGATGTAATGCTAATTTTACACAAGGCAAACTATGTATATGCTCTCAAAACATGTGCTCTGCCTCTCGTTCCATAGACACCAAAAAATACACAGTGGGACGGTGTTCCATATGTATTTGATTAGCTTCCTAATTCTTTGTCCCCTCTAGCTTTGCACCTCTAAAGATGCTAAGCCTATTTCACTCCAAATACGTTCAAGGAACACCAGATCTGCCAAGCATAAGAACAATGCAAAAGTATGTCACAGGGATTCAGCTTGGGCTTCACACATGTTGCCCCGGTTGCATACATTAAATGCACTTCTTTGCAAATTATCTTGGGTTAGAAATGCTTCATGTTAAGCTGTCTCACCAAAACATGCAGCTCCGCAGCAGTAACAATAAATGACAATGTTGGTTAAACACTTTTAACCATTGGTTTTGGTAGTGCTAATGTTGTTGAGGAAAATGTCTTCTCCTTCATATGAACTTGTGGTGACACCTTTGTCATAACTTAAAATTTCTTTTTCTGTCCCCGATCTCGTGCATAGCGGGAGCTTAGTGCACGGGCGGCCCTTTTTTTTGTCTACAATGGATACTAATAAACAGAACCATGCTAATCTGTATTGGAGAAGTAATATATACAGCAGCACAGGAAGTAATCAACAACAACAAAAAACCCAATATAATCCTACAAGTGGGGGTATGGGGAGGATAGTGTATACACAAACTTTACCCCTACCTTAAGAGGGTAGAGAGGTTGTTTCCGAAGACCCTCGGCTCAAGAAAAGATAAAAAAATAGCAGTAGCAATAAGAAGTAACAACAACAAGATAGTAAAAACCAAAGCGAAAGAATCAACAAGTAATAATAGAAATCTACGAATAAAAAGATACAAGACACCCTAATACTACTGGTACCGAAAAGAAAAGCACATGACTATATATTAATACTCTACCCTAATTCTCGACCTCCACACCCACCACTAAACATCTCCATAGAACTTCCCTTGGGACTTTATGGTATGCTTTTTCTAGGTCAATGACCATCATATGCATATCCCTCTTACTCTCCCTTTACTGCTCCACCAATCCCTTTACAAGATGAATGGCTTCTGTAGTCAACCGTACCGGCATAAATCCGAACTGGCTCTGGAAAATAGACACCCTCCTCCTCACCCTTACTTCCACCACCCTCTCCCAAACTTTTACGGTATTGTTATATGCTAGATTAGCAGGGGAAGAGCAACCGGGCCATAGGAAATCCCGGTTGAATTTGGGAAGAACGCGTGCAGGGTAGACTTGGAGTGGGCAGGATTCCAGCATAGAAAGTAATCAATTGCTTGAAAAAAAGGGAAGGGAGGAGAAAAGAAGGAAATAAGAGATACCAGAATGGTGGGTAGAGTGAAAGAAATTTATTTTTTATTCGCTTTTGAATTCAAATGAAGCTGGGAGGGGAAGGAAAACATTGGCTCCTTTTCATTCTAATTTAACTAACAATTTGCAGCCCTAGGGAAATTCTTTTCTGTTGTACTTTTTTTCATTTCTCTTTCTGCTTGCAAGACACATTAAAGAGGGGGTAAGTTTCAAGATTTCTCCTTTTATTGTTTCTAAACAATGGCTAGAATTGATCAATCAAATTTCAGTCTCTTTCGCCTACGAGCATTTGTATGAAGAAAGGAGTCTCGTACAAAGGATTGGATACAAGGTTGTGATCCCCAGACACAGACCAAGACTTGAGCTTACCTTTTCATGTGATATCAACTGATGGAGTGAAGCAAAATAGTGTCATAATATCCACTAAAAAGTGACATCATTCAAAAACATGATGATCGGGCAATTTACAGAAGAGTGGCATGCTATAGCTAAGCCATAGATAATTAATTAACTAAACATAAAGAAAGAGCGCTCCACCTCCAACCACGAGTTTGGGGGTTCAAGCCACCAATGAGGAAAGTGGGAAAAACTAAAACTTTTTTGTAGTTTTGAGGAAAGGGCCTTTAACCCCTGCGGCAATATTGGCATGCACCCTGGCTTTTCAGGAGAGCTCAAGCAATCAGTGCGATGTAGAAATATTACCACAATGTACGTTCATGAGTTAGATTCACTTAGGTGAGAATCGAGACTACCAACTTTGGCTTGGGAGGTAGAACTCCATCTCTTCATATATTGCATCATATCATAACCTTTATCCGATACTCTTTGCCTCTATATCAGAAAACCCTTTTTTCCATAAAGAAGAGAAAGTTCACTGATCAGTTTTCCATATATATGTTAGTCATGTGGTTCCCAACTGCTTTATGCAATTACTAATCTTTGCAGCAGAAATTTATTTGTCAACGTCCTAGCTATTGCATCTTTGTTATACCTTTCTCTGCCTTTTGGCTAAGATTGTGTGTAGCTATTGCATCTTTGTTGAAGTTCTGATCATGCCTCCATTTTCGCTATCTAACTCTCCATATTTTTGTGTTTATCCAGAGCCTCAACCTATTGGGAAGGAAAAAGGCAGTGCGGCAGTATCCTCTATGTCAAATTGAATCTTACTGTGCATGTGATTTTGTTGAAAGCTCCAAGCTCTCCATTATATAATCCTGATCGGCTGAACTTAAATGTGACCTGGAACTTTTACATTCCAAGTAATTTGATATATAGACTGAACTTTTATTTCAGCTATGTCATAGAGTAATTTCCACGCCACTGATGTTGGAGTTGTCGAATCCTGAGCTATCTTTCCTCTTAGAATATCTCTTGAATAAACGGGACTTGAGGCTCCTATTTCATTGAAGTCCGTGCATATCTTAAATCATGCTTTTCACAAGTTCGGTACGCTAGAGGGTGATGAAGGAACACAGACTTGTTTTTCAATATCATCCTTCGATTATAATTTCAGTTTTAGACTAGACATTAGGTGTTGCGGTGCTCTTAGCATTATGGTTAAGCAAAAAGAAACTATCGCAGAAAGTATTTTACTCAAAACTTTTTGCTTCAATGTGATTATTTTGTTCTGGATTAGGAAATGGAAGAGTATGCTTGGTTTTGTGAAGTAACAAGATTCTTAAATGGAGTTGTAACTTTATGAACTCTAAATCCAAGCATGTCCATCAGCCTAGATGCATCATGAATACCTCTTGAATGCTTGCAGTTACAGATTTATATGTGGCTCCTTCACATCTTAAATGTGCAGAGGCAACTGTTCGCAGGGGCATTCCAATTTTCTAGCAATTTGGTTGGTATTTCAAAAGTGTTTTGCTATAGGTGCTCCTCTGGTTTCTTTCTTAATTGAATTTTGGCTTTCTTGAACTAGATGCTCATTGCCTATTGTTCAGTAATTTCTGGCGATAAATTTTTTTATTTTTATTTTGGGGGGGG